TGTGAGGCCAAGGGTTCCACTCCAACTTCTGAAAGTAATTATTTGCAAAGATGGAGGGGAGAGTAGGGTGTCAAAAATAATGAAAGACAAGGCCTCTGCAAAATAGCCTCTCCCAAGGAAGCAACACTGTAGCAGGAGTACAGGCCGAACAAGGGCAGGACTCAAGATGCTGGAGCAGGGTCAAGGATGGAAGAGAGGTTTGTGACTATGGGGTGGCAGGTAGGCAGAGGCTGGTCATGCTGTAGGATTCCATGGATGATTCCTGGATTGTCCCATGCCAATAAATGTCACCCAAACAATGGCTTTCCACAGCCAGATAAGCTTGGATGGGTGAAAGTCCACACCAGCCTGAGTGTTCCTGCTCTTGACATGCTCCCAGTCTCTAGTCATCTCCCATGGGACTCTGTGCTTGGAAGATCACAGGAACTCTGTCATGACCCAAGCTGGAGGAGCAGTCTCTCCCAAGGCCACTTTCCCAGCCTCCTTCACTGCTGGGCAGTCGTGTGGTCCATGGTATCCAAAATCCTATTCTTCTACCCCAAGTTCACAATCAAGACAACTGGGACCTCAGAGGGGTACACAGCCAGGGCACCACTGTCTGTCCAGGCAATGCTGCCAGCCATGTCCAAGGTACCACAGAGGCTGCTGCCTGGCTGCCTGACTTGACAGTCTCTGGTCACCTCAATCTTGTCTCTGGGAACCCCTCTGCTGCGTCCTACTCATAGAGAACTCAATCTGACATCACTCTCCTCCTTCTCTAGGAAGGTTCAGTGGCCATCTGAGGGCACCCATGTCCCCTTTTGACCACTTCACATACCAACATTCCTTGTCACTGCTCAATTCGTGCCCCTGACCCAAGCACAGGAGGTACAAGTCAATCCTCAGTAGAACCCTTGGTACTAGAGCACCAGGCCTGTCTGCAGTGCCCTGCCGAGAGGCTGGGGCTAAGGAGCCCCAGCCTGAAGCCAGTGCTCCCCACTCCACACAACATCCTTGTTGTTGCACATGGGAGCTGAGAGGGCTGCCCGATAGGCCCTGTCTGGCTTTGAGAATGGCCCTCATTGTGTCCTGGGTCCTGTGGAAGCTTCAGATCCAACTGGACCAAGTTAGACTGAGATGCAGCTCAGCAGAGGGAGAACTGCTGCAGTCCATGGTGATTCTCCTCCATTCCAGCTGCCTCAGGGAGTCCTGGAGGTGTTATAGGACTCCCTGAACCCTGACACTAGGGTAGGGTGCAAGTTGGTGGCTCCAAGTGCTGAGGGGGAGAAGACACCGCAGTTTCCTCGCCACAGAGTCTTCAAGCAGGCCAGCCTAGGCCAACTGATCAAAGAACCCCTGAAGGAAGGCCTAGTTCCACATCTGGTTCACCCTCATTTATACAGCGAACATGTTCTCAGTAGCCATCCGCCCAAAGCGGAAGCCAGGGGAAACAGAAAAGGGACATGGTAACACAATAACTGATAGGTTCCTAATGACAAGAAAATAGTGCATTTACCTCAGGCTAGAGGCTGAGCTCCTTCCCCACCATTATCATCTCACTTCATCCTCAAAAATGACCTGAGGAAACCCTAGGATTATATTTGCCTTACAGAACCGGAAATGGAGGTTCAGAATAGGAACCTGTCTTACCCAGGGTCACAGACACAGGAAGCAGCAGAGGCAAATCCAGGGCCCTGAAATAAAGTGAAGCTGGGAATTCTGGGGAAATGGCAATGCTTAGGAGTTATTCCAGAATCCAGGAGTGTTAATTTCAGGGGCTGTTTTATCCTGCCTTGTCCTACCCTCAATGCACACACGCCGACACCCACCCCAAGCACAGAGCCTCACACACAGCAGGCACTAGGGAAACACTGGCTCCCTTCATACTCAGAACCACTGCAAACATGGGCCAAGTTTATTTCTGGGATATTCTGTTTGCTTGTCCCGAAGAGTCCCCAGTGGCCAATGGATATAGGCCCAGTGAATGTCTACCCAACTGGCAGTAATACTTACTATCCCTCCTCACTTATGCCTGGAGAGACAAGCAGCCACAGACCCACCTGACCACCCTCATCCCGATCCAGGATCCAATGGGGCTCTGAGAAGACAGCGCTTCTTCCTCCCTTGTCCTCATGTCCAGGGTAGAACTCAAAGACAAGCCAGCCTTAGCAGCATCTTGCCCCAGCATTCCCATGGACAACTGAGTGGCCAGTTCAAGTCCTTAGTACTCAGCTGACAGGGAGCAACAGTGTGAGAACCAGAGCTCAAAATGGCCTGTGGACAAGTACCACATTCCAGAGTCATCCCAAAGGGATGGCACAGCTCCAGTCCTGCCTTCCTCGGGAGTATATTACAGGGCAAAGTAGAGACAATGGATGGTTCCTTTGCTCCGTGTCTGACACTCAGAGGAAATGTCTGGAGACGGATTGAGTGAAAAATCATCTGTGGGGTGTGGCCAGGGATTCCCCTATGTGAGCATAGCCTGGCCCTGGCTCTAGCAGCAACAGCAAATGACTTTGTGTCCAGGCCCAACTATAGGCCAGAAGTAGCCCCAGCTCCACCTCCCACCAAAGTGTCATGGGTACTGCTTTGGGAGGCTGGGCAGAGATGAAATGGCATGAGGACCCTCCTGCTTTAGTACCTGGAATTTACAGCCCCCAACACACCATGGAAGGAGAGGGCTACCCACTGCCTTCTTCCCTGGCTCTGGGCTTCTAATGGAGACTCTCAATGGACTGGCTCTAGTTCACTTTTGTGATTTGGTGCCTCAACAGAGCTTAGCATGAGACTGACCCCTCACTTGAGGGACAGCATAGGACGTAGAATAGGGGTAACCCCTATCCCTGATTCTGTCATCATGGAGGAGCACAGAAACCAAAGCAAAGGGACAGCAGGAATTTCACACAGTACAAGGCCTTGGTTGATTCATCTTCAGATCTAAAACACCCTGGAGCTTTAACAATCTACAGCGCCAAGCCAACAGTCTTCAGCAGTTCTTGATGCAGCGCTATCCGCCTGAGCAGACAGGGGGACAGTGTCAAAAAGTGAGGTTCTCCAGCTTACAAAACACACATGCCTCCACTACTCATCCCACCCAGGCCTGACCTAGTGTCTCCCCTTGAGGTGGGACAGTTAGGGCAACAAGACAAAGGTGGAGCCTTGGCTCTTCCTAGAGCTCCAGGTAAGAGAGGGCTCCGCTCCATCCTCTGGGTGTTGAGAACACCCTGCAGCCCCTTAACCAGGGCCCTAAGGTCACTGGGAAGTGAGGTTTGCTCAGTGTCTTTGCTGGAGAATGATCCCCACCCAAACCCCACTCCCAGCATCTCAAATCTAATACCACCTCTTCCAGGAGGCCTGAGCACCACCTCTCTGCTGGCTGCCTAGCTGACTGTGTGTTGGGCGTGCTGGGGAAGCAGAGACGCTATGAAGGCCTGGGGAAAAGAGTGACGGGATCTCCTGGAAGAACAGATGCTAGCAGAGGGTCACATGTGTGCTTTGGAGACACAGTAGAGCAGCCCCTCAAAGCCCAAAGTTCCCTCATCCCAGACAGGGAGTAGAGGGCACAAATGGAGACCAGGCTTCCGTCCCAAAGCGCAGAGGACAACCAACTGACCCTCTCTGTGCCTCAGTCTCCACACCTGCACCAACATTACAAGCAGGGTGGGAAGCAGCAGCTGTCTCAGGGACCTTTCCTGGGCAGACAGGATTTCCCTTGAGACATCATGCAAACCTCTGTGCCTTGGCCAGATCTAGGGAGCCTGTGCCAGCACATACCATGCACTCTCTTGCTTAGAACAACCAGTAATGGCCAAAGACTCCTGTTCTCCTCCCTCGACCAAAGGTGACTTTCCTGGCACAACCTGGGACTGCCTTGCCCTGCCCTGCCTCCACCCAGGTTCCAAAAGGTTCCTTCCTTGCTCAGGGGACAAGGGCAGGTGAATGCTAGTGCCAGGAGGGTGTGCCTGCAGTTCCTCCCTAAGGGCTCCCTTCCCTAAGGCACCACCTGGCTCTGGGGCCCTGATTCTCTAGGCACCCACACCTGCTATTCTGGCCCATCAGCTCTAGCCAGTCACCATCCAGCTAACCATCAGGGAAAGGAGGGCCTGTTCCCTGGTCTAGCACAATTGAAAACCTCACTTGGCAAGGAATGGACACTTGGTAATTCTGTGAAGGTGACCAAATCCACAGTAACTCTCGCAGACAGTAGCCTAGACCTTTCTACGCGCTGCCCTCACTGAGGGATTCTCAACTCCAACATACCCCCCAGGCTCTAACCTGTCTTGGCCGGCCGCCAACCTCCAGCCTACAGCAAACCTCAGCTCCTCAACGCATAGCCCCGGGCTCAGACTCGCAGAGCAACTAGGGGTGGGGTGCCCAGGCTGCGGACCCCATAGGGACATTCCCGCCTCTACTCCGGCCCCGCCAGGGCGCAAGACCCAGGAGCTGCGGAAACCAAGGGACCCTGCCGGTCGGGGACTCCAGGCGGCCCCAAGCCCCCACGTCCATGCTGCACCACAGTGCCCTGGCAGGCTCCCAACTCTCTTGGTGGAGGCTCTCGCGGTGGAGGTGCGTCCTGAGCGACCACCGGGCAGATCACGGCCGCCGCCCCCACTCCTGGAGTCCTGTGCCCGCGGGAGGTGAATCATTAACTCCGGGATCACGTACCTCCACCCCGAGGGCGGGCCCACGCGGAGGGCGGGTGGGCGGCCACCGCCTGGAAGTTTGACTCCGGTACCCACAGTCGAGGAAACTGAGGCCGGGACTAAGGGGGCCAAGGTCACCCAGCAGCTGGCAGGGGGAGGGCGGGCCGTCCGCCAGGAACTTTCCCGGATCCGGGAACTTCGCAGCAGCCCTGCCCCTGCGTCCCGGCCTCCTGGCAGCCAGGTCCCGGCGCGCCGTGGTTCCCAGGACCCGGCAGGAAATACCACTCGCTTAACCCCTGCCCACCCGGGGCACCGCCCGGTGGCCTCCCGGCGCATCCCGGAGCCCGGCTGGAGCCAGCTGGAGCCCGCCGCACTCACCAGGTAGTTCATGGCGGCCGGCCCGCCTGAGGCCCGGAGCCCCGCGGGCCGCACACCCAGCTGGCTCTGGCAGGATCCACCCGCAGCAGCCGCAGCCTCCGCAGCCCAGAGCCGGTCCCACCACGCTCCGCCCGCCTGCCCCGGCTCCCGGCATGCCCAGCCGCGAGCGCCCATTGGCCGCCACCACTCCCATGCAAATGAGCCACCGGCCTAGGGGCGCGGGCAGACACGGGTGGGACGGCCCCAGCCCGGCTGCTGGTCTACAGCCGCGGAGATCCCTTTCCCTGGTAGACGTCCTGGTCCCCCGCAGCTGGCGAGAGCCACTCTTCAAAGGTCCACTCCAGGTGGGGTAGGTATCTGGATGGCCTTCTGCCCCAGAGCGCTGGTTCCCAGAGAGCCCCTCCTTCCCCTCCAGACCCGGACCTCAAGTGGCTTTTCCCTCCCTCACCCTGGATATCGCACGCATGTCCACCCCGTCATCCCTCTCAGATCTTAATTCGGAGGCACAGGAGAGGGGGCGTGCCCCCACCTGCAGAAAAACAATAATCACCGCACAATTGTGACAAAGGACGGACCCCAGGAAGTCGGCTTGATGGCTCTTGCCTCTTAAGGGGGCGGGGGTGCTGGAAGAGGGGACCAGTGTAGGCTACAGAGTGATACCTTCTCAAAACACAGCAAAACAAAAGGACCCCAGGGTTGGCCAGCTACAGCTGAACCTGGTGCTTTTCACAAGCAACACCTCTTCTCCCTCTGCATTCCTCAGATCTTTGGGGATTCCAGCTGGTCTCGGGAAGCCCAGGGGAAATGGAGCCAGGGCTTATCCCGTCCTTGTCACACAGACGCCTCTGCCACTAAACAAGAAACCCAGGAACTAGAAACCTGCCCAATTGAGCACCAGGCTCCCAGATGCAGTGCCAAGCAGGGTCTCCAGGCTCAGGTCACAGTCCTACCCTAGGACACACACACACACACACACACACACACACACACACACACACACACCTCCTGAGGCAGTCTTGTCCAGACATAAAACCTGTGCCCAGCAACCCTTCTGAAACCTGCTCCAACTTGTCTGTTTCAGCAGCTGTCCAAATGTGCATGCAGAATGAGGGAACAGGGGAAAGCACCCAGGGAAAGCAGTGGACAGAGCCTCAGTTCTCCTGACTGCCCCCCTTGTAGGTCAGTGACTGTCACCCCAAGCAGCAAAATCCAGACCAGACAGGACCCTGAACAGTCAGCAATCCTGAGATCTTCACTACATACCATGGAGCTGGTGGCAGGAAGCAATGAGGTAGACCCAGCTTCATTCTGCAGAGCTCTGAGAAACTTCGGTTATACACACAAGCCCAAGTCAACTTCCACCTGACAGGCACCTTAGCCCACTACCCCTGGCCAGATGTGCACCATGGGCAGGTTCTCTGCCTCTCTGAGCTCGTTCATCAGGGGTTGGGCTAGAGCAGCCCAAGTCAGGGTGTGTGCTTTCAAGTCCTCTGGACAGCTGGTTAAACCAGACTCTTGGGTCCAAACCCTCTTGAATAGTCAGACACCTGCATTTCCCCTGGGCTTCTGGTTTGGAAACCAGAAGCTCATGGCATTTGGGGAGGGGGGCGGCAAGGAGAAATGACCCAGTGTCCAGGAGAGGAATGGGACAACTGTCCACTTTCCTGTAGAAGAGGGGCAACTCTCAAAGCACCACCTAGACCATTTCCCTCCTGCTGTCCCCAGTCACTGCTGTCCCTAGGCACTAGTCCCTGCCTCTCCTACATCCTGCCTCCATCCAGCCACCAGCTCCCTCCCACTAGGCTCCAGTCAGAGGGTCTAAACCAGGTGACAGTGCCTAAGCATCTGTCTGACTGTGCTGGGGATGAAGGAGCCTCAGAATTTCAATGGGTTTCTACTCCAGAGGGGAGAAGCAAGATCCAGGACTCAGCCAGACCTGAAGCACAGGCCTCCAAGGCAGGAGATTTCTGCAGGTTGGAAAGAGCCACAAAAGGCCTCACCCTCACAGGGGATGGCCTCTACTCTACCCTTAGCCAAGGGAAGACACCTCAATGTGGCAGTGACTAGCTAGGACATTGGCAATGGGGACCCTCCTCTTTCAAAAGCAAATTTAAGTGGCACTGGGGGTGGAGGCAGGGGGAGGGGACTAGGCTCAGGCATTTCAAAAATGTGCTCCTATCCACTTAACCCCCCCAAGCCTGTGAGCCTTGGAATGGCATTTCCGTTTTGGAAACAAGACCCCAGGGTTGACACCTCCCTGTGTTGGTGGGGAGGGAATGCTCTTTCCCAAGCTAGTGGGGAAGGGCACCCATTAGGCTGGCTCTGGCTGGGATATATGGGGGATTCCTGACAGACATGTAATACCTCCCCCTCCACATCACTGGCCTCCATGATGACTGGGCCACATGTGCACAGTGATGCAGCCCCTCAACGCCAACTGGCCTCTATGTTGGCCAGGGACACACACGCTCAGTTCCCACAGCAGTTCTGCAACATGAGTTTCACCGCTGACCCCACTTTACAGTGCTAAGACTGATACCCAGCTTAGGGGCCCTTGTCCTATCCCATACGAACCCTACACAGAAGGGACAGAGCTGCAACCAGAGAAGGGAGGGGTGGAACCCATCCTGATCACTGTGAAGCAGAAAGGGACTTAGGGACAAGGGCACTCCAGGCTAAAGTCAAAGATCCCTGTCACACTGAATCCATTCAATAGACAGGCAGCTGAGACTCAATCAAGCATTACCCCCTCCCAAAGAAAATCCTGCACTTAGTTCTGGAGCCAGCACTCCACTGAAGCTCAGCCTCACAGGTGAAGAAGGTGTGAGGTAGCCCTGGTGGGAAGAGCTGGCCTGAGCAAGAAGTGAACTTGGGTCTCAGAAATAGGGGGAGGTCAAGTAAGTACACACAGGTGAAGAAACACCCAAGTATGGGCAGACACAGCACACACAGATACGGCTACACACAGGAGCAACACAGGTTTCGCACATAGACACGGATACATACAGGCATGGAAACGTGGAGGGGAAGGCACATAGAGGTGTGGCACACACAGGTGCAAGTACACATGGGCTCAGGCACACACAAGTGAATACGCAGAGAAGCTGGGAGAGGGTGCTGCTAGAGAGAGAGAGACTTCAGGGGTGGGGCCAAGCAACAGCACCCATCCTCCCAGGACAGCTGCGTCATCCCTGGAGCTGCCTGGACTCTTCTTACCAGGCTGAAGATGAGCTCACAGGCTGTAGAGGGATGTCAACAACTTCTGGAGCATGGAGTAGTCATGTGGTGGACCACTAAAGTGTCCACTGCTGTCAGCACTGGACCCCTAATGGGGAGAAAAGCCTGAGGTAGGGTTGGGACTTTGGAGCCTTCTGAGCCTTGGGTGCAGTACTGACCCCACAGAAGAGTCATCACAACTTAATGACCCACACTGTCCACTTCAGCACGTAGGACAGCAAAGAAGGGGAAGGGCATAATGGAAATGCCCAAGTCCAGGGGCGTGGCTGAACAAACGAGCCCCTCCAGAAAGACCTCACAGCTACAGAGTGCTACTTCCAAAGACCACATGAATTCAGGGGAATGGTGCATGACTAAGCAAAGAGAAACACAGACCCAGAATGACTTGGACAGCCTCTCTCCTCCTGAAGCTTGGGCTTTCTCAGCAGCACGAGGATGGGCTGGACCGGTCAGCTGATGGCCAGCTCTGGAAGTGGCAGTGGGAAAGGATTTCCTGAGGCCGGAGGTAAGTGCTGCAAGCCCCAGGGACAGGAAGATGCTAAGTCACCCGAGGGCCACAGGAGTTGTTGCCTTCCTCCTGGGCTGACCATTCACAGGAGCAAGCTCAGAACTGGACAAGGCTACAAGGACAGTTATGAGCACCACAGCCTAGCCTATCAGTCAGTCCCCACTGCCCTGAGGATCAGGGGACGGAAATATCATTACCCAGAGGCTCAGAAGGCAGAGCTCCAGCCAGCTCACACAGTCAGGAAGTGGTAGAGCTCACAACTGTAATGGCCCATCCATAGACCAGGCATGTCCCCATGGGAAAACACACTAGGGTGGGTGTTGGGGCTGTTAGCCATAAAGAGCTTCCCCAGGCACCCTGTTCTCATAGATAGGAATGACCAATGACAGAGTAGTGACTATCAGAAAGTGGCTGTGCCCTACTGCAGCGAGCCAGATCCTCTTGGCCAGTCATGCCCTTCAGCATCCCTCAGACAAGTCCCTACGGACCTGGATATGAGGCAGAACTACCAGGTGGAGGGACAAAGCCCAGGGGTGAGGAGGCTACAGACTGACTTAGGCTTCCCAGCAAGCCCAGCACCCCCTTCCCAGCTCCCAGCTCTCCTTTGGGATGTATTCACCGGACATGAACTCTCCTCTTTTTCTGCTTTCCTATAGTGTGGAGACCACACAGCAGCAACAGCACCTGCAGGGAGGGGCCTGCCTCAGAGGGGACCTGCCGGGGACCCAAGCTGAAGAAGCCAACAGGACAGCGAGGGCTGCTCAGAAGCTCTTGCCTGCATCCCCCTTTCTCTTCTGTACCTCCTTCTCCCCTCCAGCAGAGGCCTCTCTGGGTGCTGGCAGATAAGGGTGTGCTGGCCCAGAGCAGCACTATCCCGTGTGTGGACCAAAGAGGCTGGGGCCTAGTGCACCTGCCCTTCTTGATGGCTCTGAGATCTGCCCTTGCCTTCTCATCCCTCAACATTAGGGGAGGAGTCAGACTGGCAGAAGAAACAGGTCAAGGAAGAGAGGGGAAGGGGGAAGGAAGGACATTGGGCAGGTCTGTGTCCCTGGAGAGAAAGTTCAGATGCTGGTGGCTGCCCTGCTCCTGTCAGATAGGCTGGGTGGGCAGGGCCTGGGTGTGGTCAAGAGGCCTCACCAGCCAGGCCATCTGTTCTCCTCTCTCATGGCAACCAGCCCCAGAAGATCAGGCAGAGGGGTGACTTCACATGCCATCTGCTACCCACCCCAGCTGCTTCCACTGAGCACCAGTGCCCACACACACAGATACCCAAGATGGGCACAACAGTGTTGCCAGCCACAAGTGCTGGAGTCAATGAGTCAGGGGGCCAACAGGGTCACAAGAGGGGATCTAGGGACTCCAGGGTATATAACAGCAGCTCCTTCCTTAGACTGAAATGTGCTCATCCCACCTGAGCCTGCTCCAGTCTACATGACAGGACTAT